CAGACTCACAGGGATACCGCAATTGAGTTTGGAGGAACCAACCATTCGACATAACAATTAGTTAATAATCATCATTAAATAATAATTAATTAAAATGTAATTAATTTCCCTACACATTGGTGGAGATATTAAAATTTACTTGAGCTAATTAATGTGTGTAATGTGTGTAATTACTGAGCTACGCCAAGCTCAGAAAGCCTCCTTCTTCAGCCTTCAGCTTTCTTCAGCTCCCTTTACCATTGGACACATCACTATAACAAAATGACCATTTAAGAGTAAGAATCAAAACTTTGAGTACACTTGCAAGATTCTTTCTTATAATTGTTTCTTAGACTGTGTCATTGTTTGTATACATCAAATGCTGTCACAGAAAGTAACTTTACCCAGTTTTACCCAGTCTTACTCTTAAAGCCTGTAAAAGCCATATTGGCCTGATATCGGCATGCATTTAATAAAGAATGACAGATGATGCAGTTGATGACATTGTCTCCTCTACGCTTGACTGTGCGAACCACACATGGCGGATTCCTGGGTTCACTCTTTTCTGAGTCAGCATACAGTACAAAATGGCTGAACCCAAATTTTGACTTACTGGTTCATAAGACCAACTTAGATCAAATTTGGTACAAACTGATTTAAGATACAATTCTCTTTACCTTAATAGATATATTTATTTGGTAACTCAGCTATCTGCAGTATTATTTTTTTTGTTTGACAATTTGGAATTCCTCTTGTAGACCATAAAAAAGCATTATTAGAGTCCTAACTAATAGTAGTTAGGACTTGCACTCTCTTAAAAACTCTTAGTCTGACTTTGTCAATTCCGCTTCCCTTAAAGATAATAACCCAAAGGACTGTACATCATACCAATTGCCATAATCAGTTGCAAAAAGGTTCTTCCATGACAACTAAAATCAGATGTACAGTAGAGTGCTTTAAGATGCTGGGGGACAGAGGCCTCATTTATTCACCATGCCTTGCAAAGCTGTACCTGTAACAGACAGAACACTCGCAGATGGACTGAGAAGTCTTGGGAGTTTTATCGAACACCCTCTGAAAACAACCAGTAAAGGAACAGTCGATAGTCCATAATCCAGAAGGTCAGAAGCTGGGGAGATCAGTCCGAGGACGAAGACTCTACACATGGGAGGAACAGGAGGAGGATCGAGGAGGGGACAGGCTGGCTGGAGGCAGTGCAGGACTGACGCGCAGATGAGGCAGGGTGAGCAGGGCGGATCGAAGCTAGACAGGGGAAATAGGTAAGAACGCTCAACACATCTCATGAAATCACTTGACAATACCTTGCGCTGATCGCAGGATCAGGCAGGGCTTAAATCCAGTGCTGTCAGCTGTGTTATCCACACTGTAACATGGGAGGCGTCAGAGTACCCCATTGTAGTCATTTCCAAGGTCTGATGTTAGATTTGATTTCCTGTTTTTGTATAACACTAATGACAGAAATTCACTTTATTTTTTTGGTTTCTCTGGAACATTACACACATCTCATTTCTCTAGTCCACATAAAATCTGTACTTTTTACTCCAAGATTGCAAAACTTATATTATACACATTGACCTCCGGTTTTCCAAAACACAGAATGCTTAATTAATGTAATTATACATGTGAAAGTTTCTTATTGCACGTCAACAGGGTTGAGTGGATGTATTTGTTTTATACCAGCAATAGTTTGTTCTCTCATCAGACTGTATTCTTCTCAAGTCTCATTAGTTTTGACAAATAGCACAGTCAGATTTTTTTTATCTGCTGCATTGCCCACTATAATTTGGGTAATGGAACTTTTAGGGAAGAATAAAGCTAAAAAATTGAATGGTGTGGTACTGTGCTCAATAGTGCTCTACAAATTTCAAGTCAGTTAAGAGCCCTTTTAAGCTACAAATAACAGTGATGCTTTCAGTATTGACTATGGCTGTTACAGATTAATTAACTTCCAGCCCCATTTGCTTCAGAGGTGCATAAAATTATTTAGACCTTTATTTTTTTTCCTTTGCTAATATTTTTTTCAACAAGAGATAATTTTAATTGGTTGTAATATTATTTTTCACATGTTGAATGAATATATCTTCAAGAAATACAGCTGAATGTTTGAGAGCCTCAAAACTTGTCAGTACAACGAAAACAAGAAAATGATATGATGTTCTGTAATATCTTTATAACTTTCACACTGTAACCTGTAGGTTCTCTATGAAATACCCAGATTTTAAAGCCCTTGTGTTTAATATACATAGAATTACTTGGGGAAAAAACCTTTCCACACTAATTCAACAATTCAGGGTGGTGCTCATATGAGAACAGAATAGGTTTCTGCCAAACTCTCAGCCCTTCTTTTTATCCGACAATCCAAATTATCTGGCAAATTACATTTGTCAAGAAAAATATGTCATCTCCACTGCTTCATCATAGCATATTTAACAGAATCGAATGAATTTGCACCCAGAAAAGTTTAAAATTGTCAATGTCCCTAAAAGAGCAAAGGTCCAAATATTGGCGTCTTCTTGTAATGAAGCAGATGTGAAATAAAATTTTGAAAATTAACAGCAGCACAGAAAATAAACCTCTGCCTTTTGCAATAAACATTACAAATAAAATCATATATCATAAAAACAGCATTATAATGATGCAAATATGGTGTAAAAAATCATTAAAATCCTGAACTGGTGAAATTTCGAATTACAAAAACCAATTAGAATTTAGTTCTATAACAGAAAGAACTGATTCATTTTTGCAAAATATGTCGATGCTGTTGATGCCATTACACGAAAGGTATTTTATCGGTAGCTAAAGAAACAAAATGTGTATTTGGCCATGTGAATACTATAATACATTTCATAGCACATCCTTTTTACATATCAATGATACTTTACGAATATAATGTATTGATCTCACGCTGAAAATCACTGGCATTATTTCACAACATTACAAATATAAGGAAGGCTGTTCTTCAGGAAGTGTTGTAACTTGTTCTTTAAGATTTCTTGTAGGACTGGATGTACAATGAACAATCTGGATTTAATAACCTATTAATCATAAAAATAAAATGTGTCAAATACAGCACATTACTCTTTATTTAAGGACATCACATAACACTGTTGATCAGGACTTTGATGTGGAGCCAAAATGATGTAGACATATATGTCCATTATTCATGTAAAATACACACAAAATTAATGCCATTAGTCATATATGTCCTTCATTCCTGTAAAATACATAATTCTGTACAATGCATATTAAATTAATGTCTTGTATTAGTATTTATAATTCTTTCAAATGATCTCAATTGAAGCATGTACAAAGGAAATATCCTTTTTCAGTTGATGCATTCAGTTTGTGTTGTCTAAGAACATAACATTAACTTTCTCATGGCTAATTAGACAAAATGATTGTGGAATGATCAATCATGTCTTTCATTTGAATCATATACATTTTTTTTATTAAGAAACAACAAACAATAAACATGCACTTCCCATTAGAGCCATATGTTATCACGTATGGTAAAATGTGAAGTTCACGTAAAAGTTTAATATTTTTCCTAGACTTTTCCCTTGAGTGCTTTACATGTTTTTGGTATGAATGTGCCCAGAATCATGAGGGAAAAAAAGTAGCCTAGTGAAGATACAAAAAACACAATGCACTGTCATATATGACTGAAATATGAATCATGTGGTTCTTTTGTATGGTATATCTGCTTTAACAAGGTTTTGGTTTAACATTACCTCATCCTGCAGTTCAGTAGTATTATACTCTTCCTTGAATGGATTTAGAAAAGCAGATAAATAGTAACAGACACATTCAGGTAACAATGTGCAAAATATTTAATACAGAAGTGTACAACTGTAGTAATCAGTTGTTAATCAGCGTTCCATTGCTCTCTGTAAGCGATACTGTATTTCAGTAGGTCCCAAAGATACCATCATTTCAGCAACACTTGGCCCTTGCTGCAATGGGAAGACAGGTCCAATTAATCCCAAAAGACCTTAAGCCAGGTTTATGTCTGATTCAAACTTTAAGACACGCAGCACATTATATTATGGCATGTTATCACAAGTTATTAAAAAAAGATTTATGTGCTTAATGATTTTATGTTTCCTTAACTAACCTAACAGGGTACTGAAGAAAAGCAAAGATGAACTACCTGTAATCCACTTAGTGCCAGACGCAACACCTTCATCACTGTTCTGTACTGGCACTTCTCTATTTTTTCTGCTAGTCGTTTCAACTCCAGGTTGAGATATTCTGTTGTTTGTTTGCTGGTATGTCTCAGAATCATCCTAAGAAGAAACAGAATTATATAAATAGAGAAATAAACAGAAATGCTTATGTGTAAAATGAGTATCATTCTTACTCATATGACTTGAGTGATGCAGTAGCATAACTAATTTCCAGGCATTTAGCATCTTATATATCATGATATACGTGTTAGGCGAGATTGTATTTTAGTTTTGGTAAGCTACAGAAGTGCAGATCTACACTGTTTCCAGAGCAAAGATTATTTATTGCCAATACTCCCCCAGCACATGCTATTTTTACGAAACGGGTAATTCCTTAGAAAACAAACTCATGCAGTAACATATGTTCATGCTCCCATAAAATTTAAAGCCTGCATAAAAGCTAATGACACCTGATATTTATTCAACATGCAGATTCTAACCAAAAATATTTAAACATAATATCATTATCCCTCCATCTATTTTCTGAAACTGCTTGTCCCGTTCAGGATTGTGGGGGATCTGGAGACTATCCTGGAGGCTACAGACACAAAGCACGGAACAACCCAGGATGGGGTGCCAACCCATCGCAGGGCACACGGCAGGGAACAACCCAGGATGGGGTGCCAACCCATCACAGGGCACAAGGCAGGGAACAACCCAGGGTGGGGTGCCAACCCATCACAGGGCACAAGGCAGGGATCAGCCCAGGATGGGGTGCCAACCCATCACAGGGCACAAGGCAGGGAACAACCCAGGGTGGGGTGCCAACCCATCGCAGGGCACAACACACCATTCACACACATGCACACCTACGGGGAATTTGAAACTCCAATTAACTTCAGCATGTTTTTGGACTGTGGGGGAAAACCAGAGTACCTGGAGGAAACCCCAAGACAACACCAGCAGAACAAACAAACTCCACACACACACACAGGGAACCATGGTGGAGACTCAAACCCAGGTCCCAGAGGTGTGAGGCAACAGTGCTATCCACTGTGCTGCCCCTTATTATTAATTATTATTAACAACAACAACAGGTCTGCACAAACATCATTTTCTGTACACTGAAGAAACATACTCCATGGCCAGTGCCAGAATGTTGTGTGCTTCTGAAGAAACATTCTCCAGTTGCTCCAGCTGGACGGAAGGTCTTATCCACAGGTATGCGTAATCAGGTGCCAACAGATCATGCAGACAAGTTATGTGGCCCTTAAAGAAAACAAATTTATAGACATTATACTGGGACACTTAGTGACATAGTATTTCTGCCCACAGAACTACTACTGGCTGTATATTTTTTAAAACAAAACAACCATGCAACATTTACAATTGCGTAGATCACACACCTTAGTCATTCTAAAGATTAGCCAAATATTACTTTAGCTATTCAATTACAGGCACATGATTCACCGTTTGGAGGAGCAGGTTATTTGCAAGAGTGTTTAATATTGGGGGGGGCATAGCTTTATAATAAACTCATACATACATGTCTGTGTGTGTGTATATTACATACTTTATTGATCCCCAGGGGTAAATTTCGGAGATTTTGTATGTTTTCAAATGTTTGACATTCAACACATCATTACTCTGCAAAACATAGTCAGATCCTATGACTCAGGTAGTTGCTACTGTTTGTTCTCTTTATATTGTGTTCAAGAATGAAATTAAGTTAAACAACCAGACAGACCACATTCTGTTGATACTTTTGGCAGTAACAATGTGACAGGTGGATTAACCCCAATAATCTATTTGACTGAATCTGCTTTGAATCTGCAAAACAGGAAGAACTGATATTTGTAATGTTTTGGTTCAGGTTTGCTGCTTTTTCAGTCTCAAACGCTCACTCTTGCATTATGGTCTAAATTTCAAAATCACACCACGGTTGACAATGTGGACTCCATCGCCATCTTGTGGATTCAGAGCTATTGCCTGAAAAAGCAGACCAACACACTGAATGAAATAGAAACACTTTTTCTTGAAGATGAGGAACAACCTTGCGAAGATGAAGGACACGCTTGATGTAGTCGTTTTGAAGGACGTCCTTTTCCTGGATTTGTGTTCCATATGCTTGCCTGATGTGGCCCTTCAGGTCCTTCACAAGTGAATCACATTTCGCTGCATTATTTATTCTGTGCACCAGATGCATCCTGTATGGAAAAACATACCAAAAAGCATTCAAGTGCACTACCAGTATAACAAATAATGCAGCTGAATTTATTTTAGGAATATGTGCAATATTTTGTTTTAGTCCCCTAAATGTATAAAGCTAAATTCATAATCGAGTGATCAAATATACATATTAGAGGAATTGAAGCATCATCCTTTATCTAAAAATACTAGATCATCACCACTTCAGAATAAGTTGATTTGTTCCAAGTCAAATTCAAGGTCAAACCAACACATTTCCTAAACAAATTAGTGTAGTGTAATCATTCCCAATGAATAATCTGACATAGCTGCACCTTTAAATGAATACACATTAACTATGCAATGAGTAAGTGAAAATCAGTTTACCTGTTAAATTCAGGAAGTTTCTCCAAATCCAGTGTAGCAGAGTGAGTCATTAATCTTGAGGCATCAAAATCACTGATAAGCTCAACGATTTCTCGACCAGGATGGTTTTCTGTGGAAAGAAAATATGCAATTTGTTAGTGATTTGTAAAATTTTGTTAATTACATTTTTATTAAACAAATGATGTTACGATAGATGACACAGTACATTAAACTCATACCTGCTTATTAATGAGAAATTGCTGGCACTGTACTCTTTCCTTGTTTTCTAAGTTTATAAAATTTTATCTACAAACCTAATTGTACCATTAATCAAATGTACTACAAACCACAGAATGCCACTGCAGAATGGCTAAAAACGTGGAAATCTATAGGGATTATATAAATGACAAAAAGCATTTGGGCAACTGCAGCTCTTCTATTAGACCAATAATCAGGTTGGCTGACCACCAAACATTAATTAGCACTGCAAACTGTAAAACTGGCAAAAGTGTGAACACCAGTAAAGTTGAACTACTGACAAATTACACTAGTACTCCTACTACTACAGAATAATGCAATGCCAAGAACAAACTAAACAGAAATAGACTTACTTGTGAATCCTGACCCACAATTCGTAATAAGATCAAGCAGAGCTTCAGGAAGACACCCTTTTTTTGCAAAGTGTTCAATAAAAATGTCACCCTGTCGTTTGGACAATTTACTGCCATCTTTGTTCAGGAGGAGAGGTAGGTGTGCAAAGGTGGGTGGCTTCCACCCAAAAGCTCTGTACATCAGTAAGTGCTTAGAGGTGGAGATGAGCCACTCCGAACCCCTCAACACATGACTGATTTGCATGAAATGGTCATCAACAACATTAGCCAGGTGATAGGTGGGAAAGCCATCCCCTTTGATGATAACAGGGTCCCCTTCAAGAGCAGCTACTTCATGCCTGTTCCAGCCAAAAACCATGTCTTCAAAAGGCTCCACACCCTCTTCTAGACGGAATCGAATCACATGGGGTTGTCTCTGGCCCAATTTTTCAGCCACCTGGTCATGATGGAGGGACCTGCATCTATTATCATACCTGAACAGAACAAATATACAATTCAAGGGCAATATTATTACCATAAAAATTCTTGCGTGTACTGAGGAATAAGCAGAGATGTGACCCCAACCCTCAATAATCCTGCCACACACCGAGGGTTCTGTCGACTCCGAAGTGCCTCTTTTTTCAATAAATCCAGTCTCTGAGGGCTACAGAAGCAATAGTAGGCAGCACCACTCTGCACCAAGATGTCAGCGGCCTGGTGATACATATCCAGTCTTTGCGACTGTTGATAAGGACCAAAATCACCACCGTTCCTTGGGCTTTCATCTGGGGCAATTCCTGCCATAGGAAAATAATTACTCTTTAACAACTAAATAAACATTTTTAATAACCACTTAGCAGGACAAAACCGGGATCCCATCCTAGAAACATGGCAGAAGACACCCAGGATGGGATACCAGCCACTTGAAGGCATTAATACATGCAGCCATTAACCTATAAGTTTCGAAAGTCTGAAATAAAAACTATACCTTTAAGGTGATAATACACAGGGCAACTTTTTGAGCCATCTTACTGGGCAATTGCCAGCCAAGTGATGCAAAGGGCAACTCATCTGGATGATCACAAAACTTTCCCCACTGCAGATGAAAGAAGAAGGAAATTTGTGGCCCAGCATCAATGGGAAAGTGCCCAAACAACATTGTTCAAAAAATTGCTCTGTGTATCATCACCCTTATAAATATATGAATCTCACATCCTATTTTTAAAGGCAAGCAACATAAGCTTAATATGTGGAATTTATAATACAAGGCATCATTCTAGCTTAAACTGCTAGTTTTCTTAACCTGTGAAGCTCACCAGCCCACTCAAGCATATCTTCAATTCTGTCTGCTGCCCCTGAAATAAGTCGGCTCTGATCTGTGTCCTCCATCCTCAAAATGAAGCTACCTCCATGTTTTTTGGCAAAAAGGAAGTTGTAGAGGGCAGTTCGCAGTCCACCTAAGTGCAAAAAACCTAAAACATCACAGCAGGCATTAATTTTCCTAGTCGCACTAATATGTTACGTTTGCAATATTACAATAATAATTACAGACATTGCTTTGCATTGTTCCATATTCAACTATTTCACTAAGCAATAAAAACAAACTAAAAAATAAATGCGGTTACTAAGGAGCAAATGGTAACTAATTTTCTATGAACAATATCATGGTCACACCCATGGTGTACGATAGTGCATTTAGTAAACTTGCTCCACATCAACTGCCCGTTTCAACTCCACACAGGACGTGGGTTAGCTACCAAGCACAATGAAAACTGTAGCAGATTTCTTAATGTTAATTTAAAGAGAGTTCCTTATATTTCCACCAAATATTACTAAACATAAATAAAAGAGCTGAACGAAAACTAAAGAATAGTTTAAAGTTTTTACACAGTAGCGGTCTTACCTGTTGGACTTGGAGCAAATCTCACCCTTACCCCATAGCTCTGTGATGAAAGAAACCTTCGATGCACCATACATAACCACATTTGTTTGCACTGAAATTTTTGCCTGGGCAATGTAACTGCATGGGCCGCTCTATGGTCAACGGCTCGCCATAATATACGTAACAAGTGCAGCTGCCGATTGCCTAAGCTGTTACGACATCGCATACAGGTAATCGAAAAACACATAACAAAGGCAAGCAGTTAGATATAATGCAAATGTATTATTACTTTGGAATGTTGTTACATATGTTCAAATTCATTGTATTTCTACTGCGCTATATGTAATAAAAGTCATACCGGAGACATTCAATACTGCGAGACACCCGGAAATGCGTGAGAGATTTACGCATGTGCATTCACGCCTCCGCTACCCTGCTGATTCGCGGCCACCCAGCCACCACCAAAACCACCCATAAGGTTCAAAATAACCGTTTTCTATTGGATGGCTTGCGGCAAGCAACTTCCGCTTTTTAGTGTTCAAAATAAAAGTCCATGTCGCACAACCACTTTCAGCCTATCGCTAGCAGCTTAAAGCATAAGACCTTTATACTTGTGTTTTCGCATACACGTTTTACGTCATCTTCTATTGCCGAAGAAAATTTCCAAAATTACAGTACGGAGGACGGTAAAAAAAATCCTTGAATGTCGTTCTTGTCCCACTCAAAATATCAATGATGCATCGTTTTTTATGTAAATGATACAGTTATACAGGCATAAATGTTATCCATTGTTACAATATAGAAGAAAAAAATACAAATAACACAATAACAATACACACTAGTGCATTGCATCACCAGAAAAAGGGAAGAAAATAAATTTTAGCATTCATACTCATGATAAATCCAGATACTTGATAATCTTACTCAAAAGAAGCAATGTCTTTACAGCATTATTATTATATTTCAGTCTTAATAATAAGGTAAGTTTTAATAATGAGTCATATACATAATGGCATTTGTTAAAGAAGAGTCAGTATCTCAAGCTAAGAATAATATTGTTATATTAGTAAAATTCACAAATTTATGATATGTAGTGAGTATATATATATCTTTTTCCATAATTCCCTTGAATATATACAACTGCAAAATAAATTAAAAATTGTTTCTGGTTCCAGATTACAAAAAGAACACTTCACAGAGATATCACATTTAAATTAGTTAACCAGGGTGTTGCAAGGGTATAGCATTGATATAACATTTAAAGATGGATTTCTTTTATTTTATTAGGTATCACGAATGTATTTAAGTTCAGCCAGATCTTTCAACCGGTATCATCAAATATGTTAATTTCCATTTAAAAATTGCCTTGGGAGAAATACTACTGCCTCTTGTAAGATATTTTCTAATATGCAAGTTATTACACCTGCTACTGTATAAAGAAGCTCTTGGCCTTGAATGGTGTGTTTTGGGATTTCTCTCGTCCAGCCACCAACTCAGACATAATTTTTAAAGAGATGAAGAAAATTGTGAGAAATGGATTTGATCATTTTTATGTAATCAACCATTCATTATAAGCATAGATGAGTGTCTGATAATATACACTTGTGGGGAGAGAAGTTATGTTTAAATGCCAACTTCCAGGCCTCCATTGCTTGCTTGATAGGTAGTTTGCTACATTTGAAATCACAAGAACATGCTAATTTTAACCCTCTACATTTTTCAAATAATAGATTGGGGATATAAAACCATAGACTATTATTTCCAGACAAACAATTCTTTATCCATTGATTAGCAGTATTAAAGTCCAATACATTGAGACCTCCCTCTGATTTCTCTCTAATTGTGGTCTTATTCTTGACATGAAGGCCCCTGGTTCAAACCCAGCCTCAGCATATCTGCGGGTCCTTGAGCAAGGCCCTTAACCCCCAGCTCCCTGGGCGCCGCTATGGGTGGCTGTCCTTCACGGACAACTTACTCTGCAAAATGAGCAAGTTGAGGGAGGCATGAAGACAATTCCCCCACAGGGATCAATAAAGTATCATATATATATATATATATATATATATATATATATATATATATATATATATATATATATATAAAAGAGAGTCAATCGTTGAACACGTCTGGGAATCAACATAGAGAGACAGTGCTGGATACACCAGCCTAGATATACCCTCAGCCTTCGAAAGCAGAATATGTCCTTCTATTGTTAGGTCTCTTTGATGCCAACAATTATATATATTCCTTAATTTTTTTGTATTTTTTGTGAAAAGTTTTCCACTATTCTATCAGATACTGATTTGCGTATCAAAATACCAAGGTATCAAACTGTCTATTTAACCTGTATTCCAAATGTTTGGGAAACATCCAAGTCGTGTACAGTCATAATCTCACTCTTAGTTTGATTAACCTTAACATCGGAAAATAAGTGTAAAGCTTTCAGTATAATGGGAATCTGGTCAATATTAAAAAAAAAAAAAAAAAAACTCATGGTCCACTGTGTCAAAGGCTTTATAAAAATCTAAAAATAATATAATAAGCTATTTTTTTGACCAGTTCTGTGTAATCTAAAATATTTCAAACAAGACACATTATTGGAGATATTGCTCCCTTTCATAAACCCAGACTGTGAAGCAGAAATAATTTCTTCTAAACATGGTTTCAGCCAGTTGGTATATAATGCAGTAATTGGCCTCCAATTTCCAAGTATGAAGTATCTTTATTTGGCTTTGGTAATAATGTTATTATGCCCTGCTTCATAGATTCAGATAAATCTCTATTACTTTAGATTCTGCTCTTTTCTAAGTTGAAGAAGTATGCAGATTCCCCCCCCTAACCATCTGACCCTGGATCTAACAAAAGCACTCCTTGCCCTTTTTTACATACAGATTCTTCTTTCAATTTATAAAGCTTCTCCTCATCATCTTCTGTTGGCAGTGAGAGGGATAGGGTCTCATATATTTCTTTTAAGATATCAGCATGTTTGGTTGATTTGTGATATGTCTGGAGCTATGGTTTTATTATTCTTGTTATTAAAATAAGATGTCACCTCATCTTCTTTATCTTGATCCATAGCTTCAGTCCTCAGCAACCCTGCAGGGATATAAAAAAGGATGGATGTTTTTGCATTCTTCACAAATACAGTTGGTCACTACATATTTAAAAAGGCTGTCAGAGGTCGCCCATAATAATAACAACAACAATAATAATAATGTTCTTGTTGCTACAATATGTCTTTAGTGATATTTAGCCCTGTAAAGAGATTTTGCCTGCCTGAGAGTTTTTTCCCCCTCATTCTTACTGCGTACACATTTTTGTTTGACTGAGGTTCTTGGGCAGCACTACAGTCAGAATCTGAATCGGGATCTGTCATTTACACAATTATTGCCTTTTCTTTTCTGTAGTCATTCAAATGTTTTATACATCCTTTTTATACATATGTTTCATACTGTACATCCTTTAAAAAATATTATTTTGTATTATTACTTTGTTTTGCAAATTAAGGTTAGCACAATATTTGCACTCATTCACATATTTCACAATCCGCTCTTTTTTTGTTTTTAAGTTTGATCTAACAATTCTATAATCACTAAATCATTAAATCTTCTCAGTGGCCTGTACTACGAAGCGGGGTAACTGGTTTATCGGAGTAACTTGATGACGTGTGGTGTAACTTCGCGATTAACCCGTACTACGAAAGGTGGGTATGTTTTAGTCGAGACATGTTGCTATGGCAATTTACGCTAAGTCTCAAAACTGCTCCGAGCAGTTTTTGTTCTTGGTTAAGTCGAGGTTTCCGCGTAAGCCAGCCCTATATGAGCACCGCCCCTCCCACTACAATTTCTCTGAAGACAATGCTTTCCTACCCATGAAAATGTCCTACCCGAGTTAACTGGGCATGCTCGTTCGCTACTTAACACACGCCCATAAATATCTGCTGCTTTCGAGTCTCTGCCTTTCGAAGAAACAAGGTTAGTTTTATCGCATTTTTAGTTTTATATATATATATATATATATATGTATGTATGTGTGTGTGTGTGTGTGCGTGTTTGAGTGTCATACATTCTCGACTTAACATGTGCATGTGCAGTTTGAATACACTTGCCTCAAAGCATCCGCGTGATTTTCACGCTGCTTTAGAAATTGGCTGTGTGCGAATTTAACTCAGGATTTGCAGTATAACAAGTATATACTGCAGTATATACTGTTATAACAGTATAACAGTAGTTTGCATAACAGTTTACGTCTCTATGATAACTGTTCATCTTTCATTCTGAAACATGTTACATAAAATCGCATTCCTATTATCTGTTAATAAAAATGAATAAATAAGATTTCTATTTCATTTACACGTTTTTGTACCTGGATGATCCGTACGACATTGGCGCGCAAATCGTGAGGGGCTCTCTCTGTTAATATGTATGAAATGGAGCAATGGCATATGATATGCATACAATGTATTAATTAATAACTGTTACAGAGAAAGTTATTCTGAAAACCGAAGGGGTGTGCATTTTTCCCTGTTGTCCACTGATCAAAGCATACTTCACTAGATGTGCCTGTCTTGTCTAGTTTTAAAGTTATTAACCCATTCATGTATTGTCGACTGCACAGTATACGGATACATTCGAACATTCAAAAATGAATTATAATTCGCATGTAAAGCAATCTGGGAAACAACGGGGTGTGCAACAGTCGCCATGAGCCCAAAATACTAAACCACCATATGTCATTACAGCTTAATTATTATTTTATTAGCTATTAACATGATTTGGCACAAATCACAAAATGTTTTGAAGCGGAAAAATAATCGGTGTGCATCGATGTCTGCGTAATCGACATCACAATTCTGTCATTAAATACGCCAACCTTACTTCCATAAAGATATTAAAGCCAGAAAACTGAATATGGAATATGAGGCTAACTTAACCGCGGTGACAGGTTCTTGGTCGTTTTCTCACTACACATATGCTTCTGGTTTGTCCTGTTGTAAATCATTTAATTGTTTGTTAAACAGAGGCTCACCTTAATTCTATTAAGTGTCATATGAACAGACACCTTTTTATTATTAGCTGTAAAACATAGAAACACGCTATTTAGTGGAGGCTACACACAACAAATCTTATATCATAATGAGTAGAAATATAAATACATAGCCCTACCACTTGACATGGTGTTTTTATATTTCATCTTGACTTGCTGCCACGTACGCTTTCCACTACAATTGCATTTGAAATCGGATCAGTTATTGTTAACATTAGGTTTGCATTATGAGTAACATTACAGTAATGGAACTTCAGGGAGCATTACGTACATCACTTAGCAGCATATAATATGTAACTTCTGAATTGTGTCGCATCTGTTAGCCTCTGTAATTATTAACAGTAGGCTATTTCAATTCTTTTCAGAAAACACTTCATTGTGTAATACTCGGTCGTGAGATATTTTAGACCACGTTTTATGACCGTGAAAATGTACGTATGTATTTTCTCCGTTGTCAATACGTTGCCAACAAGCCTGCCTGCTTTTGCTGGCTGCAGTGGTATTGGACTTTCTTTACAGTGTTGATTTAAACTCCTCATAACCCTGCATAATTAGCATGCAGTCTTCCTCCGTGAAACATATGGAGATCGCGCTATGAGTCAAACGGTGCCTTGCGTTGCCGAACGTGCTCCATATATGTGAACGCGCACAAACTCCAATGCAGTTAACACCGATTTAACAAATCAACTTCTTAACTGGCGTCGTAGTACTGATTAGCCCCGATGGAGTCAACCTGATTTTGTCAACCTCGCGTTCGCAAATTACCTCGGGGTTAAGTCTGATTTGGTTAACCCCCCTTCGTAGTATAGGTCACTGATCTGAAATGAAACCATAAGTGTCAAAGTTCCCCCCCCCCGCCCAAATCATTGAATATGGGTGTGGTTTTAGCTGACTGGCAGGTTAATCACAAACACTGTGTGCCACCTTAGTTGACTGGTGCTGCAGCATTCCTTGATCTTGTTTGATTTATTTGGATACCAGGTTTTGTAACAAACAAAAACACATCTACCGAAAACAACCCCAAACTAAGTTAGTCCTACGTGAACACAACAAAAGGGTGAAACGAAACAACAAAATCTCCCTAACCAAACAAACAGTAATTCTTCACGACTCGCAAAACAGAAAGGCAGTCACTCCTGTACCTTGCGTTCATTGGATTTTCGACTCGGAAACAAAAATCGGAAAACGAAAAATGACAAGAAAAAGGGGCGATTTCATTATATTTTATCACCCGATTAGAATTTTGGGTCATTTCCTGTTTTCAGTGTTTAACACAGGTCCCTAAACAAACAAATACAATATCCAATAATCCCAAATATGAAAACCAGATTATTTTTCTATTAAGTTTTCAAAAGTTACGCTGAGGGTCGCTCAGTGTGTCGCACATCGTGAGACGTAAAAGTAAGAATCTCACAGCACAGGACTGGAGGCAAGATAATTAAGGAGATGCTAAAAAAACCCCACACATATGCAGATATTTCAGCTACGCTGTATCAATTAGGCGTACAGAGGGGGTCCTCTGAAATGAGTGTCCGGAGATTCTGCGCGGAGCACAACTTGAGACAAAGAGGTCTTGTGTCTGACACCTGTTTGGAAATTGCCATTGGTAAGGCCATAAATAAGGTATGTATATGTCTTGTGTTGTTTATGTTACGTCACATATTCATTTGTTTACTTTAGACTTTTCTTTTTTTCAGACAGGATCAACCTATGGTCGGAAAATGATGACCGGTTACCTGTCCTCAGTGGGAGTATGTGCTGGAGAACTCCGTGTAGGAAGCATCTTAAGGACTCTGCATCGTCCTTATCACAAATTACGAAGATGTGTAAGTATGCATGTACTATTTACTGTATTAAGTGCACTCTAACGCTGCACAAGTGTGTCTGCGATTTTTACGTTGTTATTGAGTAAGCATTCTTTTTCCCCCTTCTTAAAAGGGCGCACGGAACCTGAATCCCATACCCTATTATGCTGCATACGTGGGACACAAACTCCACTTAGAGTTTCCCATGCAACCATGCCAGTAAAAAATAATCTCCTCATATATGAGCACGTGTACAGGTTAGTCTGTCATGAAAAAAATATATATATCAATACAGCA